CCCTATGGGCTCGGTGTGCGCAGGGGGGGAGCCTTTATTGAGGTCCTAAATTTGGGGGTGCTCCTTCATTTATGGGGCTCACAATTTGGGGGGCACTTCAGTTTAGGGAGCCCTCAAGGGGTGGGGTTCTTAATTTGAGAGAGTTCTCAGTTTGGGGGAGTCCCTTATTTGGGGTGGTCTCAGTTTAGGGGGGCCCTTCAATGGCGGGTGGTCCTGAATTTTCATGGATCCTCCATTTGGGGGATTCCTCAGTTTAGGGAATTTCCTCCACTTGGAGAAGGGCCCTCGATTTACGGGGGGTTCTTTATTTGGGGACAGACCTAGGTTTGGGGGATCCTCAGTTTTGGTGGGCTCCTTAACCTGGGGGTTCCTTTATTTAGGGTATTCATCAGTTTGGGGGAGTTTTCAGTTTGGGGGAGAATCCTCCATTTGCGGGATCTTCAATTTGGGAGTTTTTCCTCAATTGGGGGAGGGGTCTTAATTTTGGGGGACCTCTCATTAGCGGGGGATGCAATTGAAGGGGGTTCTCTTTTTGGGGGGAGTCCCCTATTTGGGGCGTCCTTAATTTCAAGGGGATCCTCAGTTTGGGGATGTTCCTTAATATTGGGGAGCCCCTCAATTTAGGGAGTTCACTGGGGGGCATCCTCAATTTAGGGAGGTCCTTAAATTAGGGGGGATTGTCATTTTAGTGGGGTCTTTAAATGAGGGGGTTCCTCAGTTTAGGGGGGTTTAATTGGACCCCCCAATCCCTCCACATCTGACGCTTTTCCACCCCCGCCCCATGGACCACTTTTAATTAGAAATTTGCCAACTATCCCAACAAAAACCCCTAATTAGGCTGCATTCCTGCTTCCCAAAACCCTGTTTGGGAATAAAAAACTGGAAGGAAAAGTTATTGGAAAAACCAGAATTTCCTGGGGGAATTTTGCAGGCACAAAGCTGAACCCACGTTCCTTTTCCAACCCCCAAAATAATGCACGTTCCCCTTGGTGTTTTGAGGTGTTCCCATGTTTTTTAAGGAATTTCCCCTTTGTGTTTCCATGGATATTTGGGAACATTCCCACTGGTTTTTCTCATCAGCAATACTGGGAGGACACAGATATTCCATGGCTTATTAAAATGATACATAAAAAATGGGAATGAAGCAGCCCCTTGCATTTCCTGCTGCAGGGAGGCCAGAGCTGGATTTGTGGGTTTAACTATCCATAGATCCTTAAATTTTAAATTTAATCCTTTAATTTTTTTTTAATTCCTTTTGGAGGAATAAAATAATTTCCTCACCCACCCAGGAGCTGATCCAGGGAGAGCAAGGTGGGAATTTTCCACTCAAAATGTGGGAAATGGTGCACACCTTACCTCACTCCCTGCCTGATTTTTAACACCTGCCATCCCCAAAAAAGCAGAATTCCATCCGTTTTTAACTCTTGGCATCACAAACAGACAAGGACACATCGGTTTGGGATGGAATTTATAATTCCAGCTGCACAAACCCAGCAGCTGCAGCTGCTCTTACCTTGCTGGGAATTCCAGGAGCAGATTGTTGGGATTTAAAGTTCATCAGTGCTGGGAATTGCCCAGAATTCCAGTCTGGGATAAAACACCTCTTTATTTTAGTCTGATCCAGAGCTCCCTGGTGTCCTCACAAGGCTGAGGTCCCACCACAGATTCCTGCAGGTTTTGGGATCAGCTGTGGGCTACAAGGAGCATTCAAAAGGTTGGTGCAGCTCCAAGAGTCTCTGTGCTACCCAAAAAGGTCACGTAAAAATTAAATTGCAAATAAAGCAATTCAAGGGATTTGTGGAGAGCAGGTAAATCCGTGATCCAGGTGGATTTTCTCCATGGGGATGTTCAGGGTGTGGAGATTCCCAGGAAAAGCCACGAGGATCCCTGGAAGTGGAACTGCCCTTGGATGGTTTCTGTTTTCAGGGAGCTGCACAGAAGAGGTAAAAAAAAGAAAATAAATTTATAACCATGGGTCACAACAGGAATGTGATAATTTGGGTAAAGATCATCTCATTCCACGATCCCAGACTGCTCCAGCCTGGCCTTGGACACTTCCAGGGATGGAGCAGCCCCAAATTTTTTGGGAAATCTGTGCCAGGCCCTCCCAGGGAAGAGCCCAGACCATCACCCCCATTATCCTTTGAGACAATCCTATTTCAAACATTTCTCCTAAATCCACTCCCCAATGCCAAGCTTGGCCCCTCTGCTCCATTTTGGGTAAAAATCTTGATATTATG